CCATCATATGTAGTTTATGCTGTGGGATGCGGGCAGAGGGCGTGGCTGCCATGGTGCTGCTGGGTCGCCTGGGCGATATGCGGCTGGCCGTGGAGGCGGTGAATGGCCCTGCGGGTGGGTGGGGGCAGAGCGGGGGCAGGGTAGGTGGGGGCGGAGTGGGTGGGACCAGGGGTGGAACGGGGCAGGGCGGGTGGGGGTAGAGCAGGTGGGACGGGGCAGAGCGGGGACCAAGGCGGGGTTGGGGCTGTTTTTGGGGCACTCGGTCTCTAAAAGGTTCGCCATCACTGGCCTAGGAGTCTCTTGCTTCATCAGCTTCTCAAATACTCTTGTTGATCTCGTAAACATTCCTCTTTCTTCCAGTCTTGTTCCTGACCTGAAAATGGCTTTTTCCAGGATGAAGATCCCACCTGCTCTGTTCTCCTTCCTCTTGCTATTCCAGTGGATGCCAAACTCTGGTAGTTCCCAGCAAGATACCTGCCAGACCTGTCGGGGTCTTGTTGACAATTTCAATAAGGTGGGAGCCTAGAAAGGATCTCCAAAATGGCCTGGGCGTATGTAATCATGATTAATGCAAAGTGGACATCCCATTTAGCTGGGATTGCTAGGCATTCATCTGCCCTTCCCACCCATCCCCCTTCAGTCTCAGAATAGGATTTGGGGACGAAGGGAGCAAATGCTGCTGAGAGAGGTATGGAGATGTATAGAGGATGAGGGGCAGAAAGCAGCAATGGAGGTGGTCGGTTTGCATTGCATGGGGTTGAGGGCTGCTGTGCTGGGATGGGGCGCGAGAAGACCAGCTCTGGCTTTGCTGTGAGGCTTGTCCTGCCTTCTCAGGGTCTGGAGCGGACACAGCGAGAGAACTTCGGGGGCGGGAACACAGCCTGGGAAGAAGAGAAGCTTGCCAAATACGCCAACAGGTGATTTGAAGGCTGGGCTGCAACAGGCCATTGGTGAGATGCTGATACTGCAGACCCCGGGCCATACCAGTATCCTCGTTGGGAAGTAGCAACCTCTTACTAGCATCCTGATTGCATGAAGTCCAACAAGATGGGCCTTGACACCTAAGATGAAGTCTCTTTAAAAACAAACAAACAAACCCAAGGCTATGATAACTCATGTAGTTGCTTCATTTTAAACATGATGGTGGAAATTCTGACAATACCCCAGTTGCCAGAATCTTTATTGCAGCTGGAGCCCCAGTTTATTTTCTTAGGACAGAACTTCTCAGCCTTGGCAACTTTAAGAAACATATACATTTGTTTTGTTTGTTTGTTATTATTATTATTATTATTAGGGTTTATTTTTTTAAAAAAACTTCATAGGACAGTGGTGGCGAACCTATGGCACGGGTGCCAGAGGCGGCACTCAGAGCCCTCTCTGTGGGCACGTGCGCCGTCGCCCCAGTCCTAGGCCTTCAGCTGGGTTTTATAAAACCTTTTCGCTTTAGGCCTCCGCCACCATGTGCAAAAAAAAAAAAAAAAAGTTCAATCAGTCAATTTCAGCTTCTTGTGGGGAAAAAAAAGATCTTGCAAAGTTGGAATTGATTGATTGAACTTTTTAGTCCCACCTAGTCTGCCGTTACCACCGCAGCCACCCCTAGCCAATGGGCCATACCTACCCGGCACTCGACAATGCATAAGTGGGTTGTGAGTTGCAGTTTGGGCACTCAGTCTCTAAAAGGTTCACCATCACTGTCATAGGACCTTTTTTTACTCTTAATAACAATAACAAAAAAAATACCCCTAAATGAATGCATATCCATGTTGTCCTTAAGCATGGATGGTGAGATGTGCAGCATATAAATTTAATATACTAATACATATTATTGGATAACAGTTCCCAGCCTTCCATGTGATTTTGAATTCTGGCAGTGATTGTCACCTCAATGAGGCATTAAATATTTCCATTAGCTGATCATGACATGTATGGCTGGAATAAAAAAATACTTTTTCTCCCTTAAGAGGTAGCTAAGCCTGTTATTTCATTTAGAATATCAGAACATTTGGGAATAGTTCAAAGAATTATAAAAAAACGAGCAAGTTTTAAATTCAGCACATTTACAGGGTATTGTCCTCACTTGCCTAAAAGAAAATATCAGTCAACCTAAGCTCCCAGATAGGAAATGCACATGGACTCAGGTAGCTGGCTGGGAATTATGGGAATTATGCCATTCTAATACTTTTGGGGGAAAAAACTAATAGAAAAATAGTACCTGAGCTGGTTAATAGATTGAATTGCACCAACGCAGATAGATTTCATTTCTGCCAGTTTTAAACTGAAAAATGAGCACACAGCCAGAATGCAATTTTTTTTCCTCTGTGGATGTCATCATTAATTAGCTGGGATGTTTTCTATATAGATACCCAATCAAATCTGGGATTCTTCATGCGCCCTCCTTTCTAATGTGACCTTCCCCGTGCATCCTCTATGAATAGACAAAGTTTGTTACCTTTTTCTCCATTTTAATTATCCATTGTGTGAGTTTTGGTTTTAGTGAACATGAAAGCTTACCTTTAAAAAAAAACAAACTAACAAAGATACATTACAACTTTTTATCCTTTTTTTTTCTCCGTACAGTATATCTGCAGTGAGAGGCTGATTGCTGCAACATTAATTAATTAAGGAAATGTTCCCTTGCTTGACAAACACCTTCCATGTTTGTTCCATGCTTTCACAGCTGTTGCTCACAGCGTCCCCAGAGTCACTTGCCTGTCATTTGGCCAGCTTCTGACTTGACTCTGGGGAGGAAGGAAAGCATTAGAGACTGGCTGCTGGCCCAAAGAATATCTGGATGAAATTTTGAGAAAGAACATTTATTTATTTATTTATTTATTATTTATATTTCTACCCCGCCCTTCTCCCTGCGAACTCAGGGCGGCTTACAGCCTTTTAAAAACAAATACATAAATACAAAAATACTAAAGTTAAAATGTTAATTAAAATGAAATATTATTAGGCCGTTATTATTTTTAAAAAATTATTATAAAACCAAGCTAAAAATAACCCTTAGGCCAGTCCTGCCATGAAGTTCATTTAAGTTTCCTGTATGAAAGGCCAATCCAGGTAGTCCTTGACAGTTTGTTTAGTGACCGTTCAAAGTTACAAAGTTGATTGGAGGTGGTCTGAAAAGCGACTTATAACCATTTTTCACACTTATCCCCACAGTCATGTGATCAAAATTCAGAAACTTGGCAACTGACTCATATTTATGACGGTTGCAGTGTCCCAGGGTCATGAGACCACCTTTTGCAACCTTCTGATAGGCATAGTGAATGGGGAAGCCCACCCATCTTCAGGCTGCCAAAGTTGAATAACCCTGGCTTAGAGGGATGACGGGGCTGTTTTGATCAAGCAGGCAGGGTAGACTTTCTAGGGCAGAGCTCTGCCTTGCCTTGTCCAACTCCCTCGATGCTCATGCGGTCTCTTTCTCCCCTCCCAGTGAGACACGTCTGTTGGAAGTATTGGAAAGTGTGTGTTCTACATCAGATTTTGCCTGCCACCAGCTGCTGGAGCGAAGTGAAGACCACGTGGAACATTGGTGGTTTCATGAGTGAGTTAAAAAGAGGAGGATGCTTTAACTTACTTAACGTGGGAGAAGCTCAGTCTGGAGGCTTATTTACTACAGATCATACCGGTATTCCCCCACGTTAGCAGGAGGAAAATTCAAGCCATGGGGTTGAAAGGAGGAACTTCAACGATCCACGTAATTCAGCAGGCAAAGTTAAAAATAAAAAAACAAATCCAGAGACAGAATATCTGCTTTGCCTACAGAAAGCACCTCCAGGTAGACCTTGGAAACCCCAGGCACCACCACTAGTCAGTGTAGACCAATGGCCCACAACCTTTCTGGCACCAGGGACTGGTTTTGTGGAAGACAATTTTTTATGGACTAGTCCAGGGGTAGGCAACCTTGGCTCTTTTATGACTCGTGGACTTCAACTCCCAGAATTCCCGAGCCAGCCATGCTGAGGGGAAAGGGAGAGGTTTCCAAGCTGAGCCATGCTGGCTCAGGAATTCTGGGAGTTGAGGTTCACGAGTCATAAAAGAGCCACAGTTGCCTACCTCTGGACTAGGGGGTGGAAAGGAGGAGGTTGCAACCTAGAACAGCTATGGGACTTGGGTTTGGCTAGTCTAAAGAAAAGAAGAAATAGGGGAGACATGATAGCAGTGTTCCAGTATCTGAGGGGCTGCCACAAGGCAGAGGGGGCCAGGTTGTTCACCAGAGCACTAGAAGGAAGGATGAGAAACAATGGTTGGAAACTAATCAAAGAGAGAAGCAACCTGGAATTAAGGAGAATACTTCCTGACAGTGAGAACAATCAACCAGTGGAACAGCTTACCCCCAGAAATCGTGGGCACTCCATTACTGGAGGTTTTAAAGAAAAGACTAGACATTCATCTGTCTGAGATAGTATAGGTTCTCCTGCCTGAGCAGGGGGCTGGACTAGAAGATCTCTAAGGTCCCTTCCAGCTCCCTATTCTATTCTATTCTATTCTATTCTATTCTATTCTATTCTATTCTATTCTATTCTATTCTATTCTTAATTCCTGATAATCTGAGGTGGAGCTGAGTCAGTGATACTAGTGTTGGAAAGTGGCTGCAAATACAGCTGAAACTTTGCTCGCCTGTCATTCACATCCAGCTGTGCTGCTCAGTTCTTAACAGGCCAGGGACCGTTACCGGCCTGTGGCCCAGGGGTTAAGGATCCCTGGTGTAGACAATCATGTGTTGTATGGACCCATGATCTGACTTTGTATCTGTTTCCCTCTCCTGCCCAAATACTATATGGCTATTTCATTCTTGGGAGTTGTACAGAGCTTGTATAATTGATAAATTGCAGCGTGGCGGAATGAGGAGCGGCAATAACCAGAAGATTTTTTTTTTCCTTAGGCAGCAGCAGCATCCAGACTTTTTCCAATGGCTGTGCATGGATACCCTGAAATTATGCTGCCCATCTGGCACCTATGGCCCTGATTGCCAGAGTGAGTGTTTCTAAGGCCCCTGGGGTTTATTGGAGGGGATGCTCCAACGGCCTTTGTGCATCTCAGGTCCTTAGCTCATCTGTGGATCCTCCAGAATCTGGCTGGACCAAAGACTCCAGTTATTCTCCCTGATTTAATTTCTTAATCCACATATGAGCTAAGGGTCTGAGACAGTGGTGGCGAACCTATGGCACGGGTGCCAGAGGCGGCACTCAGAGCCCTCTCTTTGGGCACACATGCCGTTGCCCCAATCTTGCCTCTGCCTGCGACCCCCTCCTCACCAGCAGCCTCCCTGGAGGAGAGTTGCCCCTGAGGGTGGCCCACGCGGAGCAGCGTAGCCAAGGACATGGCAGCCAGGCAGCGTAGACATGACTCTGCCCTCACGCCCCAACGCGCACAGTTGATGCTGCAGGGTGTGGGCAGAGGGCATGGCTGCCATGGTGCTGCTGGGCTGCCTGGGCGATCTGCGGCAGGGCCTGGAGGCGGTGAGTGGCCCTGCGGGCAGGCAGGGTGGGGCGGAGTGGGGGCGGGGCAGGGGTGGAGCAGGGGCAGGCCCAGTTTTTGGGCACTCGGTCTCTAAAAGGTTCGCCATTCTGCTGATTCTGTAACCTGGCAGCATTTCTGCTGGCTACTTGGCTGGAGATGAGGAGAGTTCCAATATTTCTAGAAGGCACCAGATGGGAGGGAAAAGATCATGAGAGGGTAATAAACAGATCTGAGATGGCTTGTTTGTAATGCAGATAGTCCTCATTTAGCAACCACAACTGACCAGCACGTCTGACATTAAGTGAAGCGGTTGCTAAAGTGGAAAATCACATGACTGCAACTGCTTTCCTTTCCCCCATTCCTCCACTGTTGGGCTTTGTTATCCCTGCACTTGGGTAATTAACAAGAAGGGAATTAATATTTGCATTTCCATTAATTGGGTAGGAAGGGATTACAAGAGAATAAGCAGCCACACAAGGAGGAATACACATTGAAAGCCATGCAGATGGCAGTCGTGAATGTGCTACACAGACAGCCTGGGTATTCTTCATTGTGTGCCTAGTTACTCTCTTGCAATCCCTTCCTTTCCAATATCTCCACTTTGCAAGAGGAGGATGGGAGAGAGGAAAAAAAAATCAATTTCTGTAGGCAGTCTCTCTGCCTGACCCATTCCTCCTCCACTCACAGAGTGGAGAATTGGAAAGTAAGCAGGCACACAATGGGGAATACACTAGGCTGTTTGTGTAGCACACTTGTGGTTGCTGATGCCAGTGCCTTGCTCTCGATGTGTATTCCGTATTGCGTTCTTGCTTCCTCTCTTGTAATTCCTTTCTCTCCAATCCTCCACTCTGCAAGAGTAGGGGAAGAAAAACAAGAGGCCAGGCACAGGACTGCACATCCTGACTGTAATGGTGATCACATAACTGAATGACTCTGCAAAGTGGTAAATGCTGGCATTGGTTGTAAAGTTATTTTTTCAGTGCCACTGTAACTTTGAACAATTGGTAAACAAGGTAGTTGGTAAGCGAAGTTTACCTAGGATTTCCAATCATCTGAAAAAGAGTAATATTCAGTCACCAATTCAGTTGGAAGAGATCATTCAGGCCATTCAGTATGGGAGTCCAGAATAAAATATCTCTGACAGATGGAAGTCCAGAGTCTATTTAAGTGCATCTAATGGAGAGAAACCCACTGCCTTCCAAGGCAATTGGGGTCCAGAGTCCAACTGCTTTTCCTGTTAAGAAATGTTTCCAGTAGCCAATCAGAATCTACCTTCTTATAAATTGAGACCAGTAATCCACATCCTGCCTTCTGGGGAGACAGAAAATCAGCCACAGATGTGCTCTTTGTGACAGCTTTCAGGTGCTAGAAGAGTGTTAATAATCCCCTTTCCAATTTTTCATCTCAGAGTTAAACATTTCACAGTCTCTCCACATACAAATTAGCTTCCAGTCCCCTGATCATCTCTATTGTCTTTCTTGGAGCTCTTCCAGTTCTCTGAATCCTCCGTAAATTGTGATGCCCAAAATTAATCACACTAGTTAAGCACTCAGTTTCCTTCCCCCTACATGAGTGGCTGGCCATATAGGATGGATGGATGGATGGACAGACGGACGGACGGACGGACGGACGGACGGACGGATGGATAAATGGGTCACCTGATGGGATAAGGCAGTGGTTCTTAACCTGTGGGTCGGGACCCCATTTGGGGTCGATCGACCATTTCACGGGGGTCGCCAAGCAAGGCTGTCCGCCATTTTTTTTGTCCGCCATTTTTTTTGTCCGCCATTTTTTCCCCCTTTTCCAGTGGGTGCCTTACCTCCCTTGGGCTGGGCCAGCTGGTGGTCGGCCTGCTCCGTCTCTGCCGCTTACCAGCTACGCCTCGGCCGGCGCAGGGGGCGGAACCACGCATGCGCGGTGCTCCCGGGCAGGGAAAGTCCTCGACTTACGACCGGTTGGGTAGTCCTCGACTTACGACCGGTTTAGTCCTCGACTTACGACCGGTTTAGTCCTCGACTTACGACCGGTTGGGGTCGCAGCATTAAAAAGGTTGAGAACCACTGGGATAAGGAGAGCCGGTCCGCTTGAAGTGGTGGGGGTGAGACTTGAATCTTTAAATACTGAAGTCTTTAATGAAAATTCTTAACATTGCAAAATGTAGGTATCTGGAATGGGGAGAAAAGGTGAAGTAAGAAATCTGAGCACTGCAGAATTAGAGCCAAACTACATGTTGGTTTCCACTTCTGATTTCCATCTCTCCGCAGCCTGCCCTGGGGGTGCCGAGAAGCCTTGCAGTGGATATGGGCAGTGTGATGGTGAAGGCACAAGTGGGGGCACTGGCCTCTGCATGTGTCAGACTGGCTACGGTGGTCCCTTTTGTTCTGAGTGTGGAGATGGCTACTATGAAGCTGCTCGCAATGACAGCCACCTGGTATGTGCGGGTATGTAGAGTGTTTGTGCTGGGCTGGGGAAGGTTGTGGAATTGTCATTTTGTAATCTCTTGGGTGTGGTGGAGAAGGCATGGGGCCAGAAATCAGGAGATGGTGAGCTCTAGTCCTGCCTTAGGCACACAAAGCCAGCTGGGTGACCCTGGGGCCAGTCACTTCTCTGAGCCCTAGGAAGGAAGCAACGGCAAATCACTTCTGAAATCTGGCCAAGAAAACTTCAGGATGTAATCCTGGCAGTTGCCAGGAATCAATAAAGCCCCTTGCAGGCTAATACTACCATAGATGGTGGCTTTCTGTAAACAATGTCCCTCTTCCCTTTATATCCTAAATCAGGGGTCTTCAAACTTGGCCCTTTTATGACTTGTGGACTTCAACTCCCAGAATTCCTCAGCCAGGCACACGTGCCTGGCTGAGGAATTCTGGGAGTTGAAGTCCACAAGTCATAAAAGGGCCAAGTTTGAAGACCCCTGTCCTAAATGGTAGCTTTTGTTCCAAGCTTTGGCCCTTTGAAAGGGAGAGAAGAGGAGGGTCTGAAAATATCTCTTATCTTCCTTCTAAATTGAATATAATAACCATTATTTTTTAGGAAAGATAAATGTTTTGAATTTAAAAGCTACCCATCTTACATTTACATTGTCTGAACATGGGTAATTAATCTGTTCATTGTTTATATTTGCTGGACAACCCTATCCATGTCTACTTTATACTTTTCAGTCTTCTCCTATAAGTATGATAGATATGAAGCATGACTTTGTTGTAGTATAACCTACAGTATCTAGAAAGTACTAAGTTAGGAAGAGAGCCAGCCTGGTGTAATGGTTAAAGCATCAGGCTAGCAATTAGGACACGGTGAGATCTAATCCCACGTTAGGCACAAAACTGGGTGACCTTTGACCAGTCCTTCTCTCAAAAGAAGGAACATCTATAATGCATTGATTATAATCATTGCTGATCTATATTAGCCATGTGCATAAAATGAAAAACTGAGGTTTCTCCGAATGTTTCAAGTTTTCTGGCCATAGAAAGTGCTCCCTCATTTTTCACCCTCAAGCCACATCGTAGAACCACGCTGGGTATGAATTAATTACCACTCAATTGCAGAAAATTAAATTAAGAGGATGATTTTGAAAACATGACGATCAATTCCTATAGAAAATAACAGGAACACATCTTTGCTTTTGCTGACTCAAAAATCGCTTTACATTAGAATCTGTTACCAGCCGGAATGATAGATTAAAGTTTTTTTTTTAATTTAAATAAACCTTTTGGTCACCTGGTCAGCAGTTTATATAGGACAAAGACGGGAGTTAATCTTCTTAATTTCTTTTTCATTAGCACAATTCCATTTTTATTTTTAAAAAACTCTGTCCTTGATTAATTTTACTGGCACCCATGTCTTTAGCAAGCAGAACATGTAGATTTTTTTTTTAAAAAAATAAATAATTGCAGCCTACAAGCCCAGTCCCAGTGAAGGAACTATATTTTTAGTGATGTTTTTCTCAGACATAAGAAGATATGCTTTCTGCAGGAAATAAAGAAAAAGCAGAGGAATTGTTGGTATTTCTCTTAGTGTTGTAAGGTAATGATTAACGTTACCCTTATAACAACAAGCACAAGAACATGCAGAGTGCTCTCTCTCTCTCTCTCTCTCTCTCTCTCTCACACACACACACACACACACACACACACATCCCAAATGCAACAAATTAGCGTATACCAACCTAGAAATGTTGCATTTTAAATAGAGTCTACTTTATTTATTTATTTATTTATTTTCATTAATTTATATGCCGCCCTTCTCCCCATGGGACTCAGGGCGGCTCACAGCATATTAAAACAATACAAAACATTTCCCCTGTAAAAGCCAATTAAAAACCAAATATTTATAGCTGTGTCTTGTTAAAATCATTAAGAATTATCCCTATTTAAAATTCACCCTAGGTCAGTCCCGCTTGCTGAANGCCTTGCTCTCGATGTGTATTCCGTATTGCGTTCTTGCTTCCTCTCTTGTAATTCCTTTCTCTCCAATCCTCCACTCTGCAAGAGTAGGGGAAGAAAAACAAGAGGCCAGGCACAGGACTGCACATCCTGACTGTAATGGTGATCACATAACTGAATGACTCTGCAAAGTGGTAAATGCTGGCATTGGTTGTAAAGTTAATTTTTCAGCGCCACTGTAACTTTGAACAATTGGTAAACAAGGCAGTTGGTAAGCGAAGTTTACCTAGGATTTCCAATCATTTGAAAAAGAGTAATATTCAGTCACCAATTCAGTTGGAAGAGATCATTCAGGCCATTCAGTATGGGAGTCCAGAATAAAATATCTCTGACAGATGGAAGTCCAGAGTCTATTTAAGTGCATCTAATGGAGAGAAACCCACTGCCTTCCAAGGCAATTGGGGTCCAGAGTCCAACTGCTTTTCCTGTTAAGAAATGTTTCCAGTAGCCAATCAGAATCTACCTTCTTATAAATTGAGACCAGTAATCCACATCCTGCCTTCTGGGGAGACAGAAAATCAGCCACAGATGTGCTCTTTGTGACAGCTTTCAGGTGCTAGAAGAGTGTTAATAATCCCATTTCCAACTTTTCCTCTCAGAGTTAAACATTTCACAGTCTCTCCACATACAAATTAGCTTCCAGTCCCCTGATCATCTCTATTGTCTTTCTTGGAGCTCTTCCAGTTCTCTGAATCCTCCGTAAATTGTGATGCCCAAAATTAATCACACTAGTTAAGCACTCAGTTTCCTTCCCCATACATGAGTGGCTGGCCATGTTGGATGGATGGATGGATGGATGGATGGACGGACGGACAGACGGACGGACGGACGGACGGACGGACGGACGGATGGATGGATAAATGGGCCACCTGATGGGATAAGGCAGTGGTTCTCAACCTGTGGGTCGGGACCCCATTTGGAGTCGATCGACCATTTCACGGGGGTCGCCAAGCAAGGCTGTCCGTCATTTTTTTTGTCCGCCATTTTTTCCCCCTTTTCCAGCGGGTGCCTTACCTCCCTTGGGCTGGGCCAGCTGGTGGTCGGCCTGCTCCGTCTCTGCCGCTTGCCAGCTACGCCTCGGCCGGCGCAGGGGGCGGAACCACGCATGTGCGGTGCTCCCGGGCAGGGAAAGTCCTCGACTTACGACCGGTTGGGTAGTCCTCGACTTACGACCGGTTTAGTCCTCGACTTACGACCGGTTTAGTCCTCGACTTACGACCGGTTGGGGTCGCGGCATTAAAAAGGTTGAGAACCACTGGGATAAGGAGAGCTGGTCCGCTTGAAGTGGTGGGGGTGAGACTTGAATCTTTAAATACTGAAGTCTTTAATGAAAATTCTTAACATTGCAAAACGTAGGTATCTGGAATGGGGAGAAGTAAGAAATCTGAGCACTGCAGAATTAGAGCCAAACTACATGTTGGTTTCCACTTCTGATTTCCATCTCTCCGCAGCCTGCCCTGGGGGTGCCGAGAAACCTTGCAGTGGATATGGGCAGTGTGATGGTGAAGGCACAAGTGGGGGCACGGGCCTCTGCATGTGTCAGACTGGCTACGGTGGTCCCTTTTGTTCCGAGTGTGGAGATGGCTACTATGAAGCTGCTCGCAATGACAGCCACCTGGTATGTGCGGGTATGTAGAGTGTTTGTGCTGGGCTGGGGAAGGTCGTGGAATTGTCATTTTGTAATCTCTTGGGGGTGGTGGAGAAGGCATCGGGCCAGAAATCAGGAGATGGTGAGCTCTAGTCCTGCCTTAGGCACACAAAGCCAGCTGGGTGACCCTGGGCCAGTCACTTCTCTGAGCCCTAGGAAGGAAGCAACGGCAAATCACTTCTGAAATCTGGCCAAGAAAACTTCAGGATGTAATCCTGGCAGTTGCCAGGAATCAATAAAGCCCCTTGCAGGCTAATACTACCATAGATGGTGGCTTTCTGTAAACAATGTCCCTCTTCCCTTTATATCCTAAATCAGGGGTCTTCAAACTTGGCCCTTTTATGACTTGTGGACTTCAACTCCCAGAATTCCTCAGCCAGGCACGTGTGCCTGGCTGAGGAATTCTGGGAGTTGAAGTCCACAAGTCATAAAAGGGCCAAGTTTGAAGACCCCTGTCCTAAATGGTAGCTTTTGTTCCAAGCTTTGGCCCTTTGAAAGGGAGAGAAGAGGAGGGTCTGAAAATATCTCTTATCTTCCTTCTAAATTGAATATAATAACCATTATTTTTTAGGAAAGATAAATGCTTTGAATTTAAAAGTTACCCATCTTACATTTACATTCTCTGAACATGGGTAATTAATCTGTTCATTGTTAATATTTGCTGGACAACCCTATCCATGTCTACTTTATACTTTCAAGTCTTCTCCTATAAGTATGATAGATATTAAGCATGACTTTGTTGTAGTATAACATACAGTATCTAGAACAGTGTTTCTCAACCTTGACAATTTTAAGGCATGTGGACTTCAACTCCCAGAATTCCACAGCCAGCATTGCTGGCTGTGGAATTCTGGAAGTTGAAGTCCACATGCCTTAAAATTGTCAAGGTTGAGAAATACTGATCTAGAAAGTACTAAGTTAGGAAGAGAGCCAGCCTGGTGTAATGGTTAAAGTACCAGGCTAGCAATCAGGACACGGTGAGATCTAATCCCACGTTAGGCACAAACTGGGTGACCTTTGACCAGTCCTTCTCTCAAAAGAAGGAACATCTATAATGCATTGATTATAATCATTGCTGATCTATATTAGCCATGTGCATAAAATGAAAAACTGAGGTTTCTCCGAATGTTTCAAGTTTTCTGGCCATAGAAAGTGCTCCCTCATTTTTCACCCTCAAGCCACATCGTAGAACCACGCTGGGTATGAATTAATTACCACTCAATTGCAGAAAATTAAATTAAGAGGATGATTTTGAAAATATGACGATCAATTCCTATAGAAAATAACAGGAACACATCTTTGCTTTTGCTGACTCAAAAATCGCTTTACATTAGAATCTGTTACCAGCCGGAATGATAGATTAAAGTTTTTTTTTTAATTTAAATAAACCTTTTGGTCACCTGGTCAGCAGTTTATATAGGACAAAGACGGGAGTTAATCTTCTTAATTTCTTTTTCATTAGCACAATTCCATTTTTATTTTTAAAAAACTCTGTCCTTGATTAATTTTACTGGCACCCATGTCTTTAGCAAGCAGAACATGTAGATTTTTTTTTTTAAAAAATAAATAATTGCAGCCTACAAGCCCAGTCCCAGTGAAGGAACTATATTTTTAGTGATGTTTTTCTCAGACATAAGAAGATATGCTTTCTGCAGGAAATAAAGAAAAAGCAGAGGGATTGTTGGTATTTCTCTTAGTGTTGTAAGGTAATGATTAACGTTACCCTCATAACAACAAGCACAAGAACATGCAGAGTGCTCTCTCTCTCTCTCTCTCTCTCTCTCTCTCTCTCTCTCTCTCTCTCTCTCTCTGTCTCTCACTCTCTCTCTCTCTCTCACTCACTCTCTCTCTCTCTCACACACACACACACACACACATATCCCAAATGCAACAAATTAGCTTATACCAACCTAGAAATGTTGCATTTTAAATACAGTCTACTTTAAAGCTTGCAAGAGCAAGCAAATCAAAGTTTCAAGTCAATACTATATTTAATAATAGTAATAGTAATAATAGTAATAATAGTAATAATAATATAATAATAATAATAATAATAATAATAATAATAATAATAATAATAATAATAATAATAATAATAATAATAATAATAATAATAATAATAATAATAATAAATAATAGTAAAGTTGGAAGGGACCTTGGAGGTCATCTAGTCCAATAGCAACAGCACTTAAACTTATATACTGCTTCATAGTGCTTTACAGCCCTCATTAAGCAGTTTACAGAGTCAGCATATTCCCCCTCCAAACAATCTGGGTCCATCTTACCGACTTCGGAAGGATGGAAGGCTGAGTCAACCTGGAGCCGGTGAGAATCGAACTGCCAAACAGCAGGCAGCCGTCCGTCCGCAGAAGTAGCCTGCAGTGCTGCATGCTAACCACCATGGATCGTGTGTTGCTTTATGTGTGAAAAGAGTTATACCACGTACATACTTATATAAAATAAAGCTCAACGCAAGAAATAGGCGATCTCCCCATTCCATCTACCAATCTCAAAGCATCCCAAAGCCAAGTTAAAAATAACTGTAGTTTACGTGGCAGGTTGGCCACGTAAGCGACAGTTGTTTTTAACTTTGCTTTTTGCATACAACTTTGCTTTGCATACAACTGCTTTGCACACCACTGGGAACAGCGTTTTCTTCAGCCCTGTACTGCTTTTGCTTCTCAAGTTTCCACCTCACATCAGTCGTAGACTGTGTTCCTTTTCACACAATTCTGTCTCCCACCCAGAGTGCTACCGGGCCTGTGGGCGCTGTTCAGGCCCCGAGGATACCAGCTGTCTACGCTGCAAGAGAGGCTGGATGCTGCACAACCAACGATGCATCGGTGAGCCTGTGGCCCTGGAAAGGTCTGGAGTTGCTGGGTGATGTTGGAAAAAGCAGACTTTCTTCAAAGGCCTGCTTTTACTGGATGTGGTGCAGGTAGTCCTCAATTTATGACCGATCGCTTAGCGACCGTTCAAAATTACAACAGGCTCCTTAAAAGGTATTTACGAGCCAATTCCTCCTTTCCCCCCCCTGCAGTCACATGACTGAATTTTGGGCACTTGGCAGCTGGTCGGCTCTTTGAAATGTTCCACAGTCATGTGACCATGATTTAATGACATTTTTGCTGAAAACACTCCATAGTGAACAAAGGGTTCACTTAACAACCAGCCCACTTGCTTAATGACTGCTAGAAAAAAATGGTCACAAAATTGAGCCAGTCACTTTATGATTGTCGTGACTTACGAGAATAATTCGGCAGGCCCCATTGAGATCATAAGTCAGAGACGACCTATAATAAATTCAGTAAATAATCGTGAAGATAGATAGTCCTCGACTTAGGACCACAATTGAGCCCAACATTTGTTGTTAAGCGAGACAGTTGTTAAATACGCTTTGTCCCATTTTATGACCTTTCTTGCCACAGTTGTTAAGTGAATGGCTGCAGTTATTAAGTTAGTAACACGATCGTTAAGAGAATCTGTCTTCCCCATTGACTTTGCGTGTCAGAAGGTTGCAAAAGGTCACCCTGGGACACTGCAATCATCACAAATATGAGCCAAGCATCTGGATTTTGATCACCTGACCATGGGGATGCAGCTGCCACGGTTATAAGTGTGAAACATGGTCATAAGTCAATTCTTTCACTGCTGTTGTAACTCCGAACGTTCGCTAAACGAATGGGTCGAAGTTGAGGTGTACCTGTATCGTGTTTTTAACTGTTATATATGTATATTTGGATGTTATAAGCCAGGAGCCCTTAACGTTGGCAACTTTTAAGACTTGGGGACTTCAACTCCCAGAATTCCTCAGCCAGCTTTGCTTAAAGTTGCCACGGTTAAGGACCCCTGTTATAAGCTACCTAGAGTCTTTTACAGCAGGTAGCCGCAATAAATTTAGTAAATATTAATAAGAGAAACAGCAACGTAGAAGCTCAAGGGAGAATCTAAGATTCCTTCATGGGAACTGAGAGAGAGGGAAGGAGGGAGAGAAGATCTGCCTCCCCTATCTTGATCTCTCCATCTTTCTTACAGACATAGATGAATGTGGCACCGATATGGCACACTGTCGCAGCAACCAGTTTTGTGTCAATACAGAAGGCTCCTATGAATGCCGAGGTAAGAGATTAAAGCTTCCAAAATGCACCGTCTGTTGCTGTAGGCAGCCCTCGAACCCATTCAAGAAGCAGACCTGCTTCTGCCGGAGAAATGGGTCTTCGGCAGATGATCTGATGTTTCTGTTCCTCTGGATAATGTGGGAAGCCATGCCATGAGCACATTGACCCTCCTTTGTCTTGCTTTGGTGCACGAATCCTACTAGGCATCAAGCTCTTCGTGGAAGCAAAGCATGTGCAAAAATGACATAATCTACCAACTGAGGACACTGTTTTTCCCATCCCATAGGCCAGTGTTTCTCAACCTTGACAATTTTAAGGCATGTGGACTTCAACTCCCAGAATTCCACAGCCAGCATTGCTGGCTGTGGAATTCTGGGAGTTGAAGTCCACATGCCTTAAAATTGTCAAGGTTGAGAAACACTACCATAGGCAGACATTCTTAGCCAGGTGGGCAGATTTACATCTACGAGAGCAACCTATGTTTCACTCGTAAGCAGGAAGCAGTAGATGGATTGATGCTTCATGTTAGGCTTACTACATTTATTTGTGCATGTGTGCCTTTGAGTCAGTTTCTTACTCCTAGCAATTGCCTGGACCAGGGGTAGGCAACTTTGGCTCTTTTATGACTCGTGGACTTCAACTCCCAGAATTCCTGAGCCAGCCATTCTATCTGTTTCTACACCCCTTTTACTGGTTCGGTTGCTATGAAAGAGATTTATTTTGGATTATAAGAAAACCCTGGAATCTATCACACAGGAATGGTATAAGCCAGGGGTAGGCAACCTTGGCTCTTTTATGACTCGTGGACTTCAACTCCCAGAATTCCTGAGCCAGCCATGCTGAGGGGAAAGGGAGAGGTTTCCAAGCTGAGCCATGCTGGCTCAGGAATTCTGGGAGTTGAAGTCCACGAGTCATAAAAGACCAATCCCTGCAATTTTCTTTGCAAGGTTTTTGGGAAACGATTTGCTTTTGCCTCTTCCTTCTTCCTAGGGCTGGGAGAGAATGATTGGCCCAAGACCACCCAGCTGGCTTTGTATCCAAGGAGGGGCTAGAACTCACAGTCTCCTGGTTTCTAGCCTGATACCTTTAACTGCTATGGTTCATACAAAAATAATGTTCTGATATTTCTCCCTTACTCCCTTTTCATTCAGCCAGCTAGCCATCCAGCCTTACTTACCCCTAGCCAGCTAGCCATCCAGCCTTACTTACCCCTATGCAAGTGCCTAGGCCAGTGATGGTGAACCTTTTAGAGACCGAGTGCCCAAACTGCAACCCAAAACCCACTTATGTATCGTCGGGTGCCGGGTGGGTGTGGCCCATTGGGTGGGTGTGGCCCATTGGGTGGGCGTGGCTGCGGTGGTAACGGCAGACTGGGTGGGACTAAAAAATTCAATCAATCAATTCCAATTTTGCAAGATCTTTTTTTTCCCCGCGAGAAGTTAAAATTGACTGATTGATTGAACCTTTTTTTTTTTTTTGCACACGGTGGCGGAGGTCTAAAGCGAAAAGATTTTATAAAACCCAGCTGAAGGCCTAGGACTGGGACGACGGCGCACGTGCCCACAGAGAGGGCTCTGAGTGCTGCCTCTGGCACCCGTGCCATAGGTTCTCCACCACTGGCCTAGGCCCAGCTCTTCATTTTGCCAGCTCTTCATTTTGCCTTCTACTTTCTCTTTAGACTGTGCCAAGCCTTGTATTGGCTGCATGGGTGCTGGGCCTTCTCGCTGCAAGAAATGCAACAAGGGCTACCAGCGAGATGGTGTCAAATGCCTTGGTAAGTTCAAGTATCACCCCTTTCTATGCAAGTGTTCCTATCAGGAGTCCTTGGCGTTCTCTGAATTTGGTTGTTTTCACGCAGATGTTTCATGAGCAATAGCACTTAGACTTGTATATACTGCTTCATAGTGCTTTACAGCAGAGTTCCCCAATGCTTCCAGCTCTGTGGACCAGCAGTGGGGGGAGATGGGATGGTTCTGCATGAGCGGTGGGCAGGGGCGCAGGCGCGTGCAGCTCTGTTTGCGCAAGTGGCAGGTACCCACGCTCTGCCACTCACGCAAATGGAGCATGCGCATGCGTGCTCGCCCGCTGCTCGTGCAAGTGGGGATGCACGCGCACGCACGTGCATGCTCACCTGCCACTCCCGCGGCCTGGCTCAGAACGGCTCAAGGCTGAGCGGTGGGCCACAGTCAAGGGGTTAGGGACCCCTGCTTTGCAGCACTAAGCGGTTAACCCAGTCAGCATACTGCATATTGCCCCCAACAATCTTGAGTCCTCATTTTACTCTCAGAAGGATGGAAGGCTGAGACAACCTTGAGCCTATCAGGATCGAACTCCTGGCAGTGGGCAGTGCCACACTCTATTCTAACCATTGTGCCCCCATGGCTCCTACCCAGTTTCATTACCCAAACTAAGTCACATCATCAGTGTTAGTAAGGAGTGGGGTTTACTCTCAGTTTATGTTCTGGTGGCTTGCCCTGTCAGTGTTGGTGGGGGTGGTCTTAGAGATTCTTTGGCTTTGCTGTTTGCCATTGGCTTTTTTGGCAGTTCCTTGACTGGGTATTCCTATTCCTGCATAATTGGGAGGCAGCCAATCTTCTGGGCAGCCTAGCCTAGAGCAGGGCTTTTCAACCTTTTCACCCATTGTACCACTTTTAGGATATGGCAACATCCGAGTACCACCAGTCGCCTAGCAAAGTGTCAAAAACTTGATGACCAAAAAAAAAAAAGGGAAAAAGTGATAAAGTACAGGTAGTCCTCAACTTACAACAGTTCACTTAATGACTATTTGAAGTTACAATGGCACTGAAAAAAGTGCCCCCCAAGGCATAGCCGAGCAAGACACCTGCCTGCCTGCCCGGCGGTGCTCTTCCTCCTGTCCAAGGTTTTCATTGTCAGCATTTCTGTTGAGGATTGGCAGCAGGGGTGGGGTGGGGGGTGTTTGGTTTTTATTCCCCCCGTGTGCTGGGTCGTTGCAGCAGGTTTTGGTCACTTCACATGACCCTGGGACACTGTGACCGTCATAAATATGAATCAGTTGCCAAGCATCTGAATGTAAATCACAAGACCCTGGAGATGCTGCAACATTCCAGCTGATCGGCGCTTCTTCTGGGCTGGGGCTGATCCTGGCGCTTCCGCTGAGCCCTGACAGCCCTGCAGCTCCAGCCATCTCTCGCTCAGGCTTGTGCGGTGCTGCCACCGGTTCAGCTCATTCCTCTCCCCCGCTACCACTTTTCTAGGATGGTCACGTACCACCTGCCAGGTGCCAATGTACCATAAGTGGTACCCGTACCACTGGTTGAAAAGCCCTGGCCTAGAGGACTTGGGCTGTTAAAGTAGCAAGGACTCCTTTAATTTTAACTTTGGGAGTTGCTGAATTGTTGCAGTCTGTTTTCCTTTGGACTCCAGATGGGGCTGTGATGGTTGGCTCTATCCTGGAAAATGCTCTAAATTGGCCCCAATCCTGTTAGCCTTTCGTAAGGTCCTAAAATCATATCTGTGTTTCTGTGCCTGAGAGGCTGAATGTGTTAAGGGCCCCGTTGCCTGGTTGTATTGCTAACTGGCCAGGCATCTCGCACCGGTGTATATATAATCTGGATGTTTTTAGTGTTTTTTATTGGTTTAAAATGTTTTTAGCATTTTTGATGGTAGGGTATTTTTTGAACTGTATGCTGCCGAAAGTCATTGACTGAAGTGGGCAGCTGTAGAAATGGATTGAATGAATGCTGTGGCAGCTGTAATTATTGCCACCCAATGCCTGCAAATTCCTCCCCATATAATTAATTAAATGGCTGAAGTCACGTGGGAACGCCAAAAATCTCCTGTAAAATGTCAGAAGATTTTTGTCTTTTTCTACAAAAGTTCTGACAGGTGAGATTTTTGCAGGATCTGGTTGCTTTCAACTGGGGAGTTCCCAGTTCATTCCCTGTGAAAGAGTTACTGATCACTGAACTGAGGTCTAAAGAGTAACCTGAGATTTTGTCCTTTGGCAGGTAGGGCAGCCCAGCCAAAGAAGGAATAGAGGAATTCCAGAAAAAGTTGTAGGAAGGCTGTGGAGTTATGGATAGAAAGTTTCAAGGAATGAACCAAAACATATAGAGTTAAATAAAGAGGTGGATCATAGTTGGCTGTCAGTAAGGGTAGTCTCTGACTTACGACAGTTCGTTAAGTGACCGTTCAAAGTTACAACAGCACTGAAAAAAGTGACTTATGACCATTTTTTACACTTGACAAGCATTGCAGCATCCTCATGGTCACATGATCAAAGTTTGGCCGCTGGGCAAGTGACTCATGCTTATGACGGTCCTGGGTCATGTGATCACCTTGTCTGACCTTCTGACAAGCAAAGTCAATGGGGAAGCCAGGTTGCCTTAACAACATTGTTACTAACTTAACAACTACAATAATTCACTTAACGACTGTGTCAAGAAAGGTTGTAAAATGAGGGCCAAGTTCACTTCACAACTGTCTCGCTTTGCAACAGAAATTTTGGGCTCAGTTGTGCTCAATAAATCCAGGACTACCTGTATTTTGTCATGGCTTTTGAGCACTCAGCTCCCTTTTCTCCAATAGTTAATCCCAAATGTAACAAGCTAATGGAAGAAGAGGCCTGAGAGCCCACACCGGGTAAGATGTAGCATATAAAATATGCAAACCTTATCTGGATTGATTTGCTAGGCAACAGATTTTTTTTCCCCTTGTTTGGAGCAAAGCCCGAATTTAGATTTGTCCTTCGACACTTGAAACCTGCTGAATCAAGGTTAGGGAAAGCAAGGATTTATCGAGTTAGAAATGGTGAGTGAGGAGCAGCAGTTGAGCAGGAATGATGACCCTACAGCAGGGGTAGTCAACCTTGGCTCTTTTATGACTCGTGGACTTCAACTCCCAGAATTCCTGAGCCAGCCATGCTGAGGAGAAAGGGAGAGGTTTCCAAACTGAGCCATGCTGCCTCAGGAATTCTGGGAGTTGAAGTCCACGAGTCATAAAAGAGCCAAGGTTGACTACCCCTGCCCTACTGAGCTCAGAAAACATGGCTGCTGCATTGGTGGACGAAAATGGGAAATACAAAATGGAGGAGTTTTAGCCAATATGTTTATGATTCTATGACCTTATTGGCTCCCAGATGTGGATGAATGTGCTGGTGAAGTGGAGGAACCTGTGTGTACGGGCGCCAACGAGGTTTGTGAGAACACAGATGGCAGCTATCGCTGTGTTTGCGCTGAGGGACATCTACGCAAAGAGGGGATCTGTGTGGAAGACAAACCCCCAGGTAAAAGTTAGTAGGTGCCTTTTATTTTTATTTATTTATATCTCGCCTTTATTACTTTTGCAAATAAGGTGGCCTAATACTCATTCCTCCTCCTGTTTTCCCCATAACAAGAACCTTGTGATGTAATATGATGTGGGTTGGGCTGAGCAAGAGTGACGGGCCCAAATCCAGCCTTCTTTCATGCCTAAGGCGGGACTAGAAGTCACAGTCTCCCGGTTTCTAGCCAGGTGCCTTAACCACTAGACCAGTCTGGCATCCTTGACAGCTCAAAGCTTCTCGCTATGCGGTAGCCATAATTCTGTCTAGGACCAGCTTTTGGGATCCGTCTTCTTTGTCGTTCTCTGCTCCCTGTATTCTGCAGACATTTCCTCACAAATCTGCCCTTTCAGGAATAGTTGGGGTCTATCTACAATTGAGTTAAACACAATCATCCCAATCAGAGTGATATTCCAAATCAGACACAAATTGGATTTATTTTGGATTAAATGAATTGTGGAATTGAGCGGCACAGTGGCCTAGAGGTGAAGCTCTCGCCTCAATATCAGGAGACTGTGAGTTTGATCCTGGGTAGCGCCAGATATTTCTCTCTCTGGGAATAAAGAGAAAATATCTGCTGCGAACTCCGTGTAGGCGTCAGGAAGGACATCCAGCCAGTAAACGCTCAGCTCCATTCAGTTGCCCCAACTCCACCCTGAGGCAAGGGATTACAGCAGGGGTAGGCAACCTTGGCTCTTTTATGACTTGTGGACTTCAGCCCCCAGAATTCCTGAGCCAGCATGGCTCAGCTTGGAAACCTCTCCCTTTCCTGTCAGCATGGCTGGCTCAGGAATTCTGGGAGTTGAATTCCACGAGTCATAAAAGAGCCAGGGTTGCCTACCACTGGATTACAGGGTCGTTAAAAGATTAAAAAAATGAATTGTGGAATTATTGTTTTCCTTCTTAAATATATTTCTGAATCAAACTGAGGCTCAGTTTTTACATAGTGGGCAGGGGAAGGGCAAACCTAGACCAGTGTTTCTGAACCTTGGCAAGTTTCAGATGTCTGGACCTCAACTCCCAGAATTCCCCTTGATGGCTGGGGAATTCTGGGAGTTGAAGTCCACACATCTGAAGCTTGCCAAGGTTCAGAAACACTGACCCTAGAGAGCCAAACTGCTCCAGAGGTCAAAAACTGACTGCCCTCGCCACTGCTGATAACCTCTTTGTTGCCCCACAGATGCTCCTGAAAAAGGATTCTTTGACGACATTACAGATGACGAAGTGGTTGTGCTGCAGCAGATGTTCTTCGGGGCCATCATCTGCGCGCTGGCCACCTTGGCTGCCAAAGGAGACATGGTCTTCACTGCCATTTTCATAGGTGCTGTGGCTGCGATGGCCGGCTATTGGATGTCGGAGCGCAGCGACCGGGTTCTCGATGGCTTCATGAAAGGGAGATAGGGCTTAGGCAGGGTTCACTCCCTTAACTGCTTCCTGCCTCAGAGAGCCAGCTGGGGGGGCAGGAATACCTTGACCCCCTACCCTTTCCCCCTTATCTTAGCAGGTTTGAAACCAGGAGATGGGAAACACAACCTGCATCCCCATCTGGCCTAAAACAAGCCTTGACTTTCTGAAGATATGCTGGAGGGACAAATAGGAGCTGGGAAATCATGCAGGCCTATCACTGAGAGGTCCTGACAGATATTAGAAGGGACTGGATACCCCTTAGGAAGTTTGAGGTTCAGAAGAAACCGCCCCTATTATTGTCCAACTGACCCACTCTCCATGCATGTTGGATGATCCTGGAAGAGTTCATCCCAATAAGCTATGATCTCTCCCACTTGGGGCTGCCAAAGTTAACTGGAGAAAAGCTCAGCTCTTTGGGTCTGTGCTGGCATGGGGTGGTTCCCTGCTGGCTTTTGGGGTAACCTGTCCTTTGGCCAAGAGTTGACCTACACATTGCATTGAAGGAAGAGAGAAATGGCAGCAATACATTGTTAAGAGTGTTCCGCTTCAGGTAGGATCCAGTGTTTGGGCTGACCTCAGAATCACCCTGTATTGAATCAACCAGTATCACAAGAGAGAGCATAATATAAATTTAATAAATAATAATATATATACACTTATTTGTGTGGTCAGAAGTGGTACATTTCAAACTTTTCTCATCTGTATAATAAACGTATGGGCTTGCTCTCACTCTGTTGGGGGCAGCTTGGAAGGCGAAGGAAATTGAAAGAGGCCTGCATGTCCACGTTTTCGCTTTGCAATTCTGTATCTCAGGAAAAATAAATGTGTCTAAATCCACGCGGCTCCTACCATTGCACGCTCTCTGTCTCACGTGCCAGTGGTTTTTGTTCTGCTGGACTTGTACACACAAGGTTCGAAACTTGCAATTTCGCTTCAGCCTTCACGTTAAAAGAATTTTTGGAGAAGACTTGAAGAAATGTCTTCTCCAAAATGTTCCTCGGTCTCTGTTTTCTACAACCGCATGAGCCTTCTCCAATTTTTGTCGGTCTTTTCTCATGCATGAAACTTTGATCCTTGGACTATCTGGACAGGAATGAGTGGAATTTCAACTAAGACAGCTTCAATCCTCTCCTAAGCTTAACTTGTTTGCTTGCTTGAGCTTGTAGGCCACTCACTTCCTTATTAACTGTAGATGGCTTATCGAAATAAAAGGAAAATGGCTAAACAACAGCTAAAGCAAACCATAGAACGTTATTTTAGAACAAATGTTCAAACCGTTGTTAAGAATCAGAACAATTAAAGGCCCTGAATAAACAGGTATTTTGCCGATGATAAAAAAAACCCCTCTCCTAAACTGTAATGAATAAGACTTGTTTCAATTTAAAATACAGTTTGTTCCACAATGTGGCCCTTTTCACAGAGAATTAATCAGCTGGAAAGAAGGCCTAATTCAACCGCTGCTCAAGCAGGAGACCCTATACCATTTCAGTCAAGCAGCTGTCCGGTCTCTTCTTAAAAACCTTCAGCAATGAAGCACCCCCAATTTCTGAAGGCAAGCCATTCCACTGGTTAATTGTCCTCACTGTTAGGAAGTTTCTTCTTAATTCCAGGTTGCTTCTCTGGAATGAATAGAATAGAAATTAGAATAGAATAGAATAGAATAGAATAGAATAGAATAGAATAGAATAGAATAGAATAGAATAGAATAGAATAGAATAGAATAGAATATAGCAGTGATGGCGAACCTTTTAGAGACTGAGTGCCCAAACTGCAACTCAAAACCCACTTATGCATTGTCGAGTGCCGGGTAGGTATGGCCCATTGGCTGGGCGTGGCCCATTGGCTAGGGGTGGCTGCGGTGGTAACGGCAGACTAGGTGGGACTAAAAAGTTCAATCAATCAATTCCAACTTTGCAAGATCTTTTTTTCCCCGCGAGAAGTTGAAATTAACTGATTGAACCTTTTTTTTTTTTTGCACACGGCGGCGGAGGCCTAAAGCAAAAAGGTTTTATAAAACCCAGCTGAAGGCCTAGGACTGGGGCGATGGCGCGCGTGCCCACAGAGAGGGCTCTGAGTGCCGCCTCTGGCACCCGTGCCATAGGTTCGCCACCACTGGAATATAGAATAGAATATAGAATAGAATAGAATAGAATAAGGAATAGAATAGAATAGACTATAGATTAGAGTAGAATAGAATAGAATATAGAATAGAATAGAATATAGAATAGAATAGAATAGAATAGAATAGAATAGAATAGAATATAAAATAGAACAGAATGGAATGGAATAGAATAAGGAATAGAATAGAATAGAATATTAGAATAGAATAGAAAACAGAATAGAATACAGACTTTGGAGGTCTTCTAGTCCAACCCCCTACTCAGGCAGGAAATCCTATAACTATTTCAGAGAAATGGTGGTCCAATTTCTTCTTATCAACCTCCAGTGGTGAAACAGCCACTACTCCTGAAGTCAAGCCATATCACTGATTAATTGTTCTCACTATTAAGTTTCTCCTTAATTCCAGGTTGCTTCTCTGATTATTTTCCATCATTTCTTTTCTTGCCTTCTGGTGCTTTGGAAAATAAGTTGATCCCCTCTTCTTTGTGGCAGCGCCTCAAATACTGAAATACTGCTATCATGTCTTGCCAAGTCATTTTCTCTAGACTTGCCATACCCAAATTCTGCAAATGTTCTTCATATGTTTGTCTCCAGGCCTTTAATCATCTTACTTGCTCTTCTTTGCACTTTTTCCAAAGTCTCAACATCTTTTTTTGTAATGTGATCAGAACCGGATGCAGTATTCCAGGTGTGGCCTTACTAAGGCTTTATAAAGTGGTACTAATAGAAAAATATTAAATATTTTAAATATGTAAATATAAAATATAAAATGATAAAACATTGAAGTTGCTCCATTGTTGATCTAAGTGGGGGGGTGGACTATTTAAGAAAGCAACAAATGGCATTTCAACATGAGATTAAGCTGAGGTCTGTTAAAAATTTCTGAACTATTTTCAAGAGTCACCACACTAAAAAACCATAAAATAATTTAACCTTGAGGTTACCAGAATTTACAGTTATGTGAAAAAGAAAGAACTCTTTGAATTCTATGGTCTTACACAGTGCTTTTTTTATAATAATAAAAAAGGTGCGTCATACAACTCGCCTTGCCTACTCTACAAGGTTCCATCCAAAAAAGGTGCCGGAACTCCATTCTGGGCGTTCTATGACAAAAAAAGCCCTGGTTTTATATATCAGGACATAGTCATGCAACACAACAGTGATCTCAAGCACACCAGCAAATCTACAACAGAATGGCTGAAAAAGAAAAGAATCAAGGTTTTGCAATGGCCCAGGCAAAATCCAGACCTCAACCTGATTGAAATGCTGTGTGTAAACAAATGGCCATAAACCTCAATGAACTGAAGCAATGTTTTAAAGAAGAATGGGCCTAAATTCCTTCACAACAATGTGAGAGGCTGATAAAGTCATACAGAAAATGATTACTTCAAGTCATTGCTGCCAAAGGTGATTCTACAAACTATGGAATCATCAGGTATATTTGGTTTTTCATATATGGCCTCTCCATTTTGGCTTCCTTTTGTAAAATAAAAGAGGACATGGTGTTATATGTCATGCATTTTGTTCATCTGAGGTTTTATTTACCTACTTTTAAAAACTGCTAAGGACCAGATGATTTTTACTGTGTCCCGATTATGTAAAACCATTGAACTAAACAGGATGTACTTTCTTTTTCACATGACTGTAAGTGACCCAAGCAGGAACTCCCCCCAAATGCAAACCTTAAGAAGTGAGCAATACTCTCCAGAGGTCTAGCCTCTGAAATCAGTAACAACTCCATCGTGTTCATGCTAAGTTTCAAGTTTAGTTTGCAGCAGAGATCATAGAAGTGATAGATAGATAGATAGATATAGATCTGGCATGTCAAACTTCTGGCCCACGGGCCAGATGCATCACGCCAAAACCAAACCCACCCCATTGCCGGCAATGGGGAAAAAGTCGTGATATGCGATACGGGTTTACCAGATAGATAGATAGATAGATAGATAGATAGATAGATAGATAGATAGATAGATAGATAGATAGATAGATAGATAGATAGATAGATAGATAGATAGATAGATAGATAGATAGATAGATAGATAGATAGATAGATAGATAGATAGATAGATAGATAGATAGATAGATAGATAGATAGATAGATAGATAGATAGATAGATA